GTGTGCTCTTCCGATCTGGAAAAAAATGAATTATTATGACTAATTATAATTGTAGTTATGATTATAAAAAATAAATTACAATTTTTTAAACATAAAAGTCGTTATAACTCGGAAACGACTTATTTCCGGACTTATGTTTATCTAACTTTTTCTCCTTGTTTTTGTGTCCCGAAGTATTGCAGACGATTTACCGGACACCCTGTATATGTCACAAATTTACATATATACATTATACGATATATTATTATATATGTATATATATGTGTATGTATGTATATATATAATTCATATACACATGTATATAAATTATAAATCTAATGATTTGTATCATAATTCTATGTAAATATTGTAAATTCAAATATTGATATTTTTATATACTTTGTTAATTATTGGTATACATCTTTCTGATTCTATCTCGGTATTAATTTTTCTTTCAATGACTGCAATCTCAAGTAAAACAAATTCTGTTGTCAATTTTCTTCCGTCTACTATAGTAACTATTGGTTTTACTAATTCGGGATTTTCTGCAATATATAAAATATATGACCATATTAATACATTCTGTAGAATTTTACAAACAATATATTTACCAAAAATTCTACATGTTTCCTCTTCTTGCAAAATGGGTAAATTTCTCCTTCCAGTCTTTTCTATGACTTTAATATTAACAATAGATTTTTCTGGTAGTGATGCTTCAAACATTAACTCTGAAATTCTTGCAAAAGGAAAATCTAAAACATATTTGCAATATTACAAAATTGTCACAATAATACATATATTGTTTTAGATAATTTCCTAGTATATTTACATATACAAGTATTATATCTTGTCTTGAGTTGATAATCATTTTTCTTGTAAACATTAGCTTGTACACATGCTTCTTTCATTTTTAAATTCCTATTTATATTCGTGGTCCTATAAAATACATATTAATTATATATAATTTGAATATTTTAAAAGTACCAAATAAATGGGATTTCTTTAACATTATCTTACCGACTTAATGGAATAGTATATTGGCATTTATCAACAGAAGTGTTCGTGTATAATATTTGTGGTTCTCTCAATTTAATATTTCCAAATTCTAACAATTTATAACGTTCCTGAAGATTTCCTATTTCTAAATTCTATAAAATTAATATCTATATATTAAAAATACATCAGATATATATTATCATTTATTATTGTAGTAATACACAAAAAATATACTCACTTGTAATTCTAATTGTGTTTTTAACTGCTCTTTTTCTTTATAAATTTTGTTAATCTCTGATCTGTGACGATTTGCTTGTTCTTCAATTAAACGCATCTTTTCTAATTTCTCATTTTCAACTCGCAACTGAGTTTGTTGTAGTTGCTGCCGCAGAAATACAGTTTCACCCTCTTTGGTTGTAAAATCATTCAACAATTTTTTATTTTCAGTTCTTAATTTTTCCAATTCCTTTTCATCTAGTATATATAAAAGAAATAATGAATAAAAGAGTACTTCATAATTATTTATTTTTATAATGGTATTACCATGTACAATGAAATTATTGCCCTTTTGGAAAGTTGAGTTATGATCTTTTTTATCTATTAATTTATTTTTGAACTGAGAATAATTAATCTCCATTATATCCTGATTATTTTGAGTCGTACTCTGTATGTTCTTTTTCACATATACATTAGGGTTAATCTGTGATAATTTTGAACATGACGTTTCATTACAGACAATAGCAGTTCTTTCCGAAAAGCCTGATTTTATTGAATTCAAATCATGTTCAAATAGCTTCACGTTAACTTCCTTGAAAGTAAAAAGATTCAGATTATTATAAATGATTTCATATTTTAAAATTAAATTTTCTTAATAGAAATACCTGTACACAAGCTTGAGATGCGATCAGATCCATTTCCTCTATATCTTCTTCGTCGAAATCATCACCCCAAAGATCATCATTCTGAGCATTTCTATTTGTAGAGATCTCTTCTTGTGTTTTGCGATTCTTACTAGAAATGTCAAATTTTGCACGTTTCGCAGGCATACGATAATCATCCATTATTGTCTCCTCAAATCGTTTAAACATCGTGATACCAAACTATTGAGCATTATAAGAAGCAAATAATTAACAATTCACTATTGTAACATTATTCGCATAACCGTCTATCCTCACTCGAACCTCAACAACAAAATTATAAACCATTAAACCACTAACCAGTGAGATATATAACATACAGAACATACTGGAGTGAGCCTTGGGGTAGTGGGGATGGCCGAACTGTGCAACAGTAGTGCGAGAATGACAGCCATGCAGCTTGGAGATGCCTGCCTCACTTTAACTGACATTATTAAAGTGAGGCAGACATCCCCAACCTGCATGGCTGTCACTCTCGCACAGCGGCTACTCCACCTAGAGTCCTAGATTATCAGAGAAGCGCGACCGGCTTATGGCAGTATCGCAAAAGTACTAGAAAATATTAAAAATGGCGTTGAATGGCCAA